GAGGCTGTAAGGTGTCAGCTTGGTGGCGGCGAACCAGCACGAAGTCCCCTACTTGATAGGAGTGTGGCATTGGAGATTCACTGGGGGAATAAGCTGATGACAGCTGCTTCCAGAGGATCTTTTGTAGGAGATCAAGGGCGATGAGCCTATCAGACAGAAAAGTAAGTAATACCACAGAGCCATTTGTTCGGGGAGAGAGGTCTCAGATAGGAGGAGGAGCACCAAAGAGGACTTCAAAAGGGGTTAGATTAGGTGGCTTAGCCGATGGAGTGTTCCAAGCACGGAAAAGAGCAAAGGGCGGGAGCATTGTCCAATCTTTTAAGCCAGTCTCAAAGACTAATTTAGTTAAGGTCTCCTTAATTGTTCTATTCATTCTTTCTACCTGTCCTGAACTCTGGGGCCTATAAGCACAATGTAGTTTCCAATCAATCCCCAGTATGTTGGCCAGCCCCTGACTTACCTTAGCCACAAACGCCGGCCCATTATCTGACCCGATTACCTTAGGTAGTCCAAAGCGAGGGAAGATTTCTTCCATCAGTTTTTTAGTAACTGTGGCGGCTGTCTCTTTTTTAGTGGGGTAGGCTTCGGTCCATCCGGAAAAAGTATCAACAAAAACAAGCAAATACATATATCCATACTTGCCAGGCCTGATCTCAGTGAAGTCCACTTCCCAATATTGCCCGGGCCTTGTGCCTCATAGTCTTTTTCCCAATGTTAACTTGGTGGGGTGGGCATTAGTCAACTGGCATGGCTTACAGTTAGCCACTACTTGAGTGGCAAATTTACTAATGTCCAAGGGAGCTATTCCCGGATAACTTTGGTGTTGAGCCAGCAAGCACAGTTTTTTAATCCCCAAGTGAGTGGGCTGGTGAGACTGTTGGAAGTAAGTGGTCAGGTCTAGTTTATCGGGTTGTTCTCCCGACTGAACTTTTTCCTTAGGAAGGGTATTGAGCTTCAGAACTCGTGTGTCACTCATGGCGGCAGTTCTTGCAGCCTGATCAGCTAGGTTGTTTCCTTTAGTAATGGGGTCTGTCCCCCTTTGATGGCTATTACAATGTATTATGGCTACTTTTTGTGGCAGCATAACTGTGTCCAACAACCGGAGAATCTCTTGTTTATGTTTTATTTCCTTTCCTGCAGAGGTTAAAAGCCCCCATTGTCAATATATAGCCCCATGGATGTGGGACATTGCAAAAGCATATCGACTGTGTAGATATTTGCTCGTTTTCCCTTAGCAAGCTCTAAGGCCTTGGTGAGGGCAATCAGCTCGGCCCTCTGGGCTGAGGAGCCTTCTTTGAGTCTGGTTGCCCAAATTATATTAGAGCAATTAGTCACCACAGCTCCCGCAACTCGCTTACCTTGTAGGAGGAAGCTACTCCCATCAGTGAAGTACGTCACCTCAGCGTCTGGTAATGGTTGGTCTGTCAAGTCTAGTTGGACTCCGGTTTCCTCCGCTAGGATATCTTGGCAAGTATGTAATATCGGTTCTGAGGTTTCTTCTGGCAGTAGAGTTGCTGGGTTGAGGGCTATTGGAGGTCCGAAGGTTATCCTGTCCTTGTTTAGCAAAAGGCTTTGGTAGTGAGTGATTCGGGCGTTAGAGAGCCACCTGTCTGGGGGCTGTCGAATAACACTCTCAAGGGTGTGTGGGGCCATGATAGTTAGCTTTTGGGCCAGAATCAATTTATCTGCATCCTTGGTGAGCAAGGCAGCTGCTGCAATGGCCCTTAGACATGGCGGCCATCCATTTGCCACCACATCTAGTCTCTTTGAAAGGTAGGCCACTGGTCCTTTCCATGGCCCGACAGTCTGGGTTAATACTCCTCGGGCTATTCCTTTTCTCTCTATGAAGAGGGCAAAGGGCTTATCCGTGTTGGGAAGGGCCAGAACGGGAGCTGACAAGAGAGCTTGTTTGATGGCATCAAAGGCTTGTTGGTGACTCTCTTCCCATGTGAAGGGAGAATTCCCTTTTAGGAGTGGATATAGGGGAGCCGCAAGAGATGCAAAACCTGTAATCCATAATCGACAAAACCCAGCAGTTCCAAGGAACTCACATAACTGCTTCTGAGTCTTGGGTGGGGGAATCTGAGTCACTGTATGTTTGCGCGCCTCAGTAAGCCATCTTTTACCTCCCTTTAGAGTGTAGCCCAGAAAGATTACCTCTTTTTTGCAGATTTGAGCCTTTTTAGCTGATGCCCGATATCCCAAAGCGGCCAACTCATGTAATAACACTCGAGTCCCATCTTTACATTCGGATTCCGAGCTTGCTGCCAGCAGTAAATCATCAACGTACTGCAGGAGAGTGAGGTTAGGATGTTGGGTCCGGAAGGGCAGCAAGTCCTTGTGGAGGGCCTCATCGAAGATGGTCGGACTGTTCTTGAATCCTTGAGGAAGACATGTCCAGGTCAGCTGTCCAATAGCCCCCATATTGGGGTCAGTCCATTCAAATGCAAAAAGGGGCTGGCTGTCCTTGTGTAAGGGTAGACAGAAGAAAGCATCTTTTAAATCAAGAACAGTATACTAAGTCTTGGATGGGGTTAGGCCACAGAGTAAGTTGTATGGGTTTGGCACCGTAGGGTGAATATCCTCCACCCTGCTGTTAATTTCCCTTAGATCTTGGACTGGTCTGTAGTCATCTGTCCCAGGCTTTTTGACCGGGAGCAATGGGGAGTTCCATGCAGATCTGCAGGGAGTTAGCACCTTTAAGTCGAAAAGCCTCTGTATGTGTTTTTTAATTCCTCGGTGGGCTTCTTTGCTGATGGGATATTGTCTGACTCGGATGGGAGTGGCAGTGGCTTTTAAAGTAACCACCACAGGTGGTTGTTGGTTCGCCAGTCCGAGCCCAGCCATTTCTGCCCAAGACTTTGAAATCAGTCAGCCACTCGTGGGGAATGGATTGAGATTCTGATTTATCATAGAGTCGATATTCATCTTCCATTTTTAGAGACAATATTGTAATCATGGGCTGCCCAACCTTTTGGTTACTGAAAGTCACTTGTGGCCCATGGCGTTTAAAGGAGATCTTAGCCCCTAGTTTAGTTAATAAGTCTCTTCCTAGTAGAGGAGTGGGGCATTCAGGGATCACCAAGAAGGAGTGTTTTACTTTTCCTTTGCCTAAATCCACAGTACGCTCAGTTGTCCAGAAGCGGTACTGGCTTCCATTTGCCCCTTGGACCAATAACTTTTTGGATGAGAGCGACCCTAAATGGGCCTGCAGGGCTGAATAAATGGCTCCTGTGTCGATCTCAAAGTTCACAAGGGTCCCCTCCACGTTAAAAGTTACCCTGAGCTCGGGGAGGGGATTCAAGCTCCAAGTTCCCTAATCTTCTTCATCTAAGGTGAGCATAGGAGCTCGCTGGGGGGAAAGTTTTTCTCTTTCCTCTTTTTCTCTTTTCCTTTTGAGTTTCCTACAATCCTTAATTAAATGTCCCTTCTCTTTACAGTAGGCACATTGATCCGGGTCTAGTGGTGGCCGGCCGGGCTTTTTTCTATCTGTCTCTGGCTTATTAACTACAGCGGCCAACACTTGCTAATTCTTTACTTCGTCTCCTGTCTCTCGCTTGCTCTTTTTCCTCCTCTGTCTCTCTCTTATAGTACACTTTTTCAGCCTCCTTAACTAAATCTCTCAGAGAGAGATTCTGTAGTCCATCTAGCCTCTGGAGCTTACGCCTGATGTCAGGGGCCGATTGGCTGATGAAGGTCATGGCCACCGAGCCTTGGTGTCCCTCGTCCTGAGGGTCAAACAGAGTATACCGGTGATAAGCCTCCATTAGCCGTTCTAAAAACACTGAGGGAGTCTCAGTTTGGTCCCTGAATTACTTCTCTTACCTTAGCCAAATTAGTGGGGCGCCTCGCGGCCGCCCAGAGACCCACCATCAGAGTCTGGCGATAGATGGACAGATGCTGCCTACCTTCAGGATAGTTTGGGTCCCATTTGGGCTGCTTCAGAGGGAACAAGTCATCAATTTGATCTGGAAGCTGAGTAGGCCTCCCGTCTATTCTGAGGACGTTCCTTTGTGCCTCCAGCAAGATGCGGTCTCTCTCTTCTGTAGTGAAAAGGGCTCCCAGTAACTGCTGGCAATCATCCCAAGTGGGCTGGTATGAGTACATCAAGGAATCCATCAATCCTGTTAACTTAGAGGGGTCATCAGAGAAGGAAGGTTATTTCTCCAATTATATAAGTCAGAGGAAGAAAACGACCAGTACTGCAGGATAGGCATTTCACCTTCCTCAGTACCATCACTAATCATCACTAATCACTGAGCTTTACCCAGGATGGGGGGTCCTCACACAGATCCTGCCAAACCAGAATATAGGATATTTTATCCGGGTGGCCATGTCTCATCCAAGCCCCTGGGGGAAGCGGGGGTCTGGCAGTCGAAGATGTTGTTTCAGAGGAGGAGGATGACGGGCTGCATTGAGGTGTTGGTGGGGCGGAAGGTGAATAAGGGGGAGGAGGAGGACTTGGGGGATCAGGGTCAGTTTTGAGTAGAAAGAGGTCAGGTTGTGATTCTGGCAAGACAGGCGGAACCGAAAGTGCCTTTGCAGGTAGGAGTTTAGAAACGTTCGGCTCGCTGTGTGGGGGGGGAGGCTTTACCCAGGATGGGGGGTCCTCACACAGATCCTGCCAAACCAGAATATAGGATATTTGATCCGGGTGGCCATGTCTACCAGGACAGAAAATTACATCCTTAACGGCCAGGATCAGGGGAAGGTGGAAAGTTCCTTCTGGAGGCCATCCGACTGAAAAGGTGGGCCATTCTGAAGAACAGAAGATCTGCCATTTGCCCTTCTTAACCTGGATAGAAAGATTGTGAGCTCGCTCCTGAACCTCGGGCCAATGGTCCAAGGTAAGGGAGAGAGGGGTAGAAGTCATCTGTCCCATCTTATCCTGAAGGAAAAAGAATTACAACAGACAAAGAAGACGTGGACAAAAACAAACACTACTCACGAGCCGGCGTCACGCACACACACACCAAAGCCATTAGGTGGTGGAAACAGACCGGCAGAGGGACCCGCCGGAACGGAACGGGTTGGCGGGGTGGGGGTGGGGCCGCCGGAACAGATCAGTGGAGAATTCTGCCAGAACAGATCGGCGGAGAATTCCGCCACAGACAGTAGGAGCTACCTACCCAACTCGGCAGGTGCGACCTGCCTACGCGAATTGGTGGGAACCACCAGGAGACGTTCCACAAGGGAACTTCGGGGGGGTCCCCCGAAAGGAACAGACTGCCCTTGAAGTCAGGACCAAAGAAACAATAGGAACTGTCCAGGGCAGTAGAAGAGGGGAGAGAAAACGAGCGATAAATCGAAATGAAAGTAAACAAAAAAATCTGGTCTCCTCCTGCAAGGAGATCTGATCTCGGTTTAATCTCACGGGGGCTTCCAAATGTATGACCGGTACCGCAGAGGAGACTCCAAGGGCTCTACTCTCATGTAAGAACAAAGGGGTCTTTATTGGTCTGTGTGCACGGGGTCCTCCGTACAAGCGGGAACAGAGGGCCCCGAGTGTAGGTGAGGCAGGTGCTTTTAAGGGAAAAAATCGCAAAGCAAGCATTTTTTTACAGAAGCCAATCACAGCAGTTAGAGCGGGATAGTCAACAGTTTACTTATTTGTGGTTGGTCAGCTCATAAGAGATGACCAACGGGTCAGAGTTAATTAACTGTCTTGTTCTGCACAACTTATCTTTAGGACACCTGGTTTCTCTATGGCTCGAGTTTGACATGTTTCCACAACCCTGATTAGCGTAATGGCAGGCTCTATCTCTGAGTTCCCTGGCACAGCACAGCCCGAGAATATCACAGCTGCAGATATTTTCTTTTTGATTCTCCCTAGGAGCTGAGTTTGGGCTAAGCCATGAGGCACAGAGCTGCTTCTAGCTGAGAAACAGCATCTTGTTTTTAACCTTTAAATTTCTGGTCCTTCAACTTAAGGATATTCTATGAGCCAGTATACAGTCTGTTTTGGAGAATGTCCCTTGTGTAGCTTTAGAAGAGCATGTATTGGGATGTTATGGAGTGGAACATATAGACATCTACTAATTCCATTGTTTTTAAAAGTTTGATTTAGTTGTGATATTTCATGATTGATTTTTTGTGTAGTTGATCTGCCTTTTTATGTCATGATGGAGTAGTGAGGTTTCCCAATAAAATTGTATTAGGGCATAATTTTTCATGTCTGTCAGTAATTGTTTATATTGGGTGGGTGCACCATTATATGTTGCATATACATTTATGGTTGTTGCATCTTCCTCTTAGATTGTTCCATTGACAAGGATATAGTGACTATCTTTATCTCTGTTAATTAGTCTTGGCTTGATATTCATTTTATCTTCAAATAGAATAGCTAACACAATTTTTTTCTGGGTTACTGTCACATGAAGTATTGTTTTCCACCCTTTGATTTTCAGTCTATGAATTTCTTTGGAATTAAGTATGTTTATTTTATACAGCATATTATGGGATCTTGCTTCTTGATCTCTTCTGACAGTCTGTGTCTTTGGATTGCTGTAGTCTGTGCCTTTGTATTGCTGCATGAGAACACTAACATTGATGGTTATAACTGAGATGTACTGACTTACCCTTGTCATGTTGTTTTACTGTTGTTGGCTCCCAGTTTGTCCCCTTCCTCTAATGGTTTGCCCAAAGGGCTTAACATTTAGAATGGATTAAGGACAAAATAGAGAATAGGAAGAAGAGAAAGAGAATAAAAATAAGGTGTGAGGACAAAAGGAGATCGTGCCAACTTGGGGAGCTGGTGCTGAAGACTAAGGAAAAGAGAGATGCAAGCCATGAAACAAAGAGCAGAACAGAATCCCACCCACAGCGAGGTCAGGAGCCACGTCCGCAGTCACATAAAAACAGTGAAGGTGACAGAAAAAAAAAAGAAAAACAAACAGTCCACTTCCTGGATTCCCTGTTTCACTAGGAAGACAACCTCTGGAGACAGAGTCCCAAATCATGCACTGAGTTTGGTCTGCAACACAAAATAAAAAGCTAACAATCACTTTCAGTGAAGATTTCACATAGCAGATAGCAGGGAAAAATATTATAATATCTATCAATATGGCAAATTTACATATGCATCATTTTCTCAGTCTACTATTACAGAGAACTGTTAATCTGTAATACTTTATTTTATTTATTTATTTATTTATTTTTTTGTCTTTTTCCTTTTTATCGGTACCAGGGATCGAACTCACGACTGCCTGCTTGCAATGCAGGAGCTTGTGCCACTGAGCTAAATCCCCAGCCCCGATGTGTAATAATTTAGAATGTGTTTAATAATCTTTCTCACAAGGATCAATCCCAATCTGTATCCCTGGACACCTCTATTTTTATACAGTTGAGCCAAAGTCAATTTTGAAGGTCCCCAATATTTGTGGAGAGTTTTTTAAAATCACACACTAGAGCCTTTTTTCCTGGTACGCTCCTAAGCAAAGTTACCTTGTTTAAGTGTTTAACACCCTCATCAGCAACCTGGCTCAAGGCTAGTGTTATATACACAAGGTCCTCACGTAGCACCTGTAAACCAAGCACTACGATGACAGTCACGTCCCTTGTGCTTCTCCCATTTACTTCTTGTAATAGCCTATGGGTTCATTTCCTTGGGTCATTAAACTTTTCGAAGCAGTCAGCTGTGTTCTCTTCACATTTTCTCATCCCATTTCATTAGCTATTTGTTTGTGACAACATCAAAATCAGCCTTCTCCAGCAGTATTTTCCATGCTAGAAGTGCTCTGTAGCCAGCCTGTGAAAGTTACCCACTGGCAAATTAGGTTTCAAAGAGCTGCGTGGAGATGCGCAGCTACAGGATCAGAGGGTGCATGGTCTAGGCCAGCAGCTTAATAAGAAACCCTGGCATTCCCAAAGAGGACGTGCTCAGGAGTCCAGCTTCCTTACTCTTCCCAAACACAGTGATTTTTCTTAAGTAATAGCATGCTACTTAACCTGAGATAGGGGAAAATGCATAAAAGGAAGCTTTTGAAGCATAACAGATTACTCCCTGTTTAGAAAAAAGAAAAGCAGCACTGTCAGAGATTTAAAATTCAAGTAAAATTCACAAATTTCCAGTTTTTCTGAAAACAAAGATTTATTTTTTTCAACAGGTACATAACATGGAGTCTCAACCAAATATATACATGTGCAAAGAGGAAACTAATATGGCAAAATGTTTACTATAGACAACAGTTATGGGTAGTTTTTGGAGGTTTACTTGTGATTTCCCAAGTTTTCTATAATAAATGTGCTTGAGAAAAATTTAACAAAAATGTGAATCCCCACCAGGCAAGCCTCAGTTGAGACTAGGGCTTCAGCCTCCTGAGAGAGCTTAAGGCAGAGGGACCTAGCTGAGCTGTATCTTGGCACACAGAATCTGGGAGAAAGTAAATGTTAAATTTTGTCTTGAGCCAGGGTCTTACTATGAAGCCTAAGTTGGTCTTCAACTCACAGTGATCTTCCTGCATCAGCCTCCTACATGCTGAGATTACAGGTGTGTGCCACCATGTAAAGGAGTTCCTTCAGGCTACTAAGATTAGGGTAATGTTGCCTCACAGCACAGGCTTGTGGGTCTCAGGCTCTGGTTCCCCGCTGCTCTCTGTCCTCCTCTGCTCCAGTAACCTGAGCATTACAGGGCGCCTTGCTAACCTCCCCTCTGAACAATTTCCTGTGCTGCTGAGTCTCTGCACATGGATGCTCACCCCTAGCCTGCTGCTTCCAGATACCACCCAGCAGGCTGGCTCTTCTTGCCTTTCTGGTCACAGGAAAAGTTGTGACCTTTTGGGAGCAGATCTGCTCTGAGCTCCAGCTCCGCCTCACAGCATTTTGCTTCATTTCACTTTAGAGCCTGCTCTTCTCAGTTTCATGCATTTGTTTGCATGAGTTTGCACTTTCTTCTTGGCCTAAGGAGCTTCTTGGCCTGTAGAAGGCAAGGACAGAGATGATGATGGCTGACGGCCCTCGCATAACCTGGGAAGCATCATCTCTGCAGCTGTGGTGCTTCCCAGTCAGGCATTCCACCTGAATGAGCTTTTTGGATCTTTCCAAAGGTGGTTGTCAACAGGCACATGGGACAAAATCTGCCACCTGGTGGTGGAATAGTGCTGCAACATATGTTAAAGTTGTTCTTTACTGTTTTGTTCAATTTTATTATAACTGATGATATAGGCAATTCTTTTTAAGATAGCAAGAGGCATTAATGGTAACCATTGTTGATCACCTTGTATTTTGTTTTTACATTATTATGTCCATCCTTTTGATTTGACTGACTCTGTCCTATTATGTCACATTTGGTTTACATTCTTCCAAAAAAAGTAATTGTGTAATTGTCATTGTACAAAAGAGAGGAAAAGAAAGTGCTCTAAAGGACATAACTGCATGTATATTTAAGTGTATAAGATAGGTAACTATATTACCGAGTTTTATTGGATCATTGAACGGAACTGTTTGCAGTCTCACTGTTTGAATGTCCACTCTATATGCTTTAATTTTGTAACTTGAACAATTATTTCTAGGATGACAATATGTAATCTATTAACTAATTATTTCCTACTGTTTATTTTTTCTGAAATTCCGTATAACTTGTACCCTTTTTCTGTTTTTTGTCTTTTTTCTCCTTAAATAAAAATTTAAAAAAAAGCCAAACAGGAACCAAACCAAGGAAAATTTACAAAGCACATGTCTGCGTGGTGGGGCTTCTAAGTGGAAGTGATCTGGGGCCCTGAGGGAAAGTCTTGAGGACGCACAGGCATCAGGGCCTCAGATAGACTGAAATACTCAGTTTCCCCCACCTCTTGGACTGCACTTTCCTGCAGTTTCTCATGAGACCCCTGCAGCACAGCCACGACAATGTCTCCATCCCTGCTTCCCAGGGAGGACCCTAGGGCTGAAGCCAGGACAGTGTCACCATAGTGTCACAATAGCAGTCTCATGATTTCCTATATTCTGAAGTATGCCAAGTGCTTAGTTCTTCAAACCTTGAGGCTCCTTGGTTGTTTTCAAGGCTTCTAAAAACAGCAATGCCTTAAATATCTCAGGGTGCAGTGCACACTCAGTGTAGAATCAAGCTCAATAGATATTTCATTGATGATTTTGGACCCCAGAGCAACTCACTTACTGTAATCCCCAGTAGAAGGAAGCCCAGAAGGTTTCTTTTGGGGCACGCCTTCACTCTGGGGCTTCCCAGCATGGTGGAGCAGTGGACAGAGGTCAGCATGTGGTGCACCTTTGAGAGCTCTCCAGGCACACAGGAGCATGCAGCTGACCGTGCAAGGTAAAGCCACTCTGATTATCTCTCTCTTCCATTTCCTCCTCCTCCCACCCTAGTGGAAAGCCCCAGGGTCAGCCTATTATACAATGGAGTACTACTCAGCTATAAAGAAGGATCACATTGAGATATTTATAAATAAATGGACACAAGTTGAGACCATACTCATAAGTGAAATAACTCAAACTTGCCTGTATAAATACTGCATAGTCTCCCTAGTGTAAGAAATGGTAAAAGTACATAAGAATTGATAGTGATCATGTTTTTCCATTACATTGCTCTGAAGCCTTATAATGTCTGCATCCATTAGTTGGAATGGTTTCATCCTAGTTTGTTTGATTTTATTATCTGTAGCCAGTGGTGATTTAGTATCATCTTACTCTGAAGTCATACTATGCTTTTGTTTTTCTGTTTCCTTTGGCTCTATTGTGTTATATCTTATTGGATATTATTATGTGTGATAGTATAAACTTATTTGCTATGGAAAATGAGATAATATAGTAGTCATTGTTTGTTCTCTGCCATTCAGTTCTGAAAGCCCTGCAATGCTTTCATTCTCTTGAATGGTTTTATACTGTTTGTTATGTTTGATACTATTGTATATGAAGCTATGCTCAACTATTTCAAAGAAAGATACATCGTGGTAGTTACTGTTAATTATGGGTTGTCTTCTGGTGATACACTGTTTTGCCTACATTGTTCTGTTCTTATCTGCTCTGTTATGTCATGTTTTGTCTTAATCTCTTTAAAATAAAATAAAAAAATTAACCCCTGGCCCTTAGTTTTAGTTTTTTGAGCAGTCTCTACACTAATTTCCATTTTTTTTATTTAAGAGGAAAAAGAGAAAAACACAAAACAAACCAAAGCGGCGTAAGGGTACACGCAGTACAGAACTACAAAACAAAACAAAAAACCATAACAGTAAGAAATTACCTGCTAGTAGATTACACACTATTTTCTTGAAAATAGTTCCTCAAATCACAGTATCAAAGAACACAAGGTGGACATTCAAACAGGGAGACTGCAAACAGCTGTGTTCAATGTTCCAAAAACATTGATAAAGTCAGCTATTTAACACCCCCAAACACACTTGCTGTTATGTCCGTTAGAGCTCCTTTTCTTTTTTTTTTTTTCCCTCTCTTTTTTACAACAAAATTTACACATCTTGGATTTTATTACTCCTTAGTGCTTATTACTTTCTTTGGGGGGGGGGAAGAATACAGTCAAATATGGCAAAACAAAGCTGTCAGTCAATACCAAGGATAGACGTAGCACATGGTGTAGAACAGAGTACAACTTTATCAACAATGGTTATCCACGTTGTCCCTTGTTTCCTTAAAAAGAATTGTCTATCTTATTAGATATTATAAAGTTGGACAAAACAGTAGAGAACAAGACCAATAAAACTTAGGCATTGTAAACATTACAGGACTTCCAAAGAAGACAATAGTCAAACCAGAATGGGTATCTTAGTGAATCTTATTGTCTTCAAAGTAGTTGCCTATGTCTTCAAACTTGATACTATCATATAGAATGGAACAGAGTCTAATCAGTCAAAACAAGGTCGTGGGAGTACTACAGGACTTCAAAACAAGTTAATAGGAAATCGAAAAGAGTTACTATTTATATATCCTAATTTTTTTGAATTTTTTCTTTAATTAAGACAAACATAAGAAATGACTAAATAATTTTTTTTGAAACAATAAGGGGGAGATTGAGATAAAACAGGACATAACAATATAACAATAGAGGTCACAGCATGACTGTTTCAATAACCTAGTACTTCACCACCTTATAACCTGACTTAATAGTAGTTACCATAGTGTCTTTTTCCTTGAAATATTTGGGTAAAACTTCATATACTCTAGCTTCAAATATTTCCATATCAAGAAGCCCAGAATAAAGCCTTTCTAATTAATGAGTGAAAACTTTATAAGGCTTCAAGGCCACCTAATGGGGAATCATGATTACCACATATTTTTATATATTTGAATCATTACTTACATTAGGGAAACTATTCGGTATTCACACATGCGAGATTGATTTATTTCACTTATGAGTATGGTCTCAAGCTGTGCCCATTTATTGATAAATATCTCAATGTGATCCTTCTTTATAGCTGAATAATACTCCATTGTATAGAAATACCACAACTTTTTTATCCATTCCTCAGTTGATGGGCACTTGGGTTGTTTCCAAGATCTGGCGATTACAAATTGTGCTGCTATAAACATAGGTGCACATAAATCACTGTGGTATGATGCTTTCAGTTCTTCTGGGAATATGCCTAGAAGTGGAATAGCTGGAATAAATGGGATTTCCAGTCCCAACTTTTTGAGAAATCTCCAGACAGATCTCCACAAAGGCTGTACCAGTCTACACTCCCACCAGCAGTGCAGGAGAGTTCCTTTTTCCCCACAGCCTCTCCAGCATTTGTTGTCGGTTTTCTTGATCCTGGCCATTCTTTCAGGAGTGAGATGGTATCTCAGTGTGGTTTTAATTTGCATTTCTCTAATGACCAATGATGATGAGCATTTTTTCATGTATTTATTTGCCATTTGCATTTCTTCATCTGAGAATTGCATATTCATCTCAGATGCCCATTTTTGGATTGGATCTTTGAATTTCGGAGGTCTGAGTTTCTTTAATTCTTTGTATGTTTTAGACAAGAGGCCCTTGTCTGAGAGAGAGTTCACTAAAATCTTTTCCCAGTTTGTGGGTTTTCTTTTCACTATGCTGGAGATTTCTTTTGACATGCAGAAACTTTTTAATAAGAAGTGGTCCCAGTTATTGATTCTGGGAAGTATTTCCCGTGCGGTTTGAGTCCTGTTCATGAATTCTTTACCTACTCCTATGTTTCCAAGGTTTCTACCTATTTTGTCTTCCAATAGATTTAGTGTTTCTGTTTTAATATTCAGATCTTTGACCCATTTACATTTTAATTTAGTACATGGTGATAGACATGGGTCTAGCTTTAGTTTTTGGCAAATGGAGAGCCAGTTTTTCCAGCACCATTTATTAAAGAGACTGTCGTTCTTCCAGTGAACCTGCTTGGCTCCTTTATCAAAAATAAGGTGGTTGAGTGTGTTCGTAGTTGTGGTTGTATCTTCTAATCTATTCCACTGATCTTCAGCTCTGTTTTGATTCCAATACCATGTTGATTTTACTACTGTTGCTTTGTAGTATAACTTCAAGTCAGGGATTGTGATGCCTCCTGCTTTGTCTTTGCTGCTTAGAATTGCCTTTGCGATTCTAGGTCTCTTCTGGTTCCAGATGAAATTTAGGAGTGATTTCTCTAGATCTATAAGGTATGTTGATGGTATTTCTATTGGGATTGCATTGAATCTGTATAACAGTTTTGGGAGAATGGCCATTTTCACAATGTTTGTTCTTCCTATCCATGAGCAAGGGATGTCTTTCCATTTTCTGAGATCATCTTCAATTTCCTTTTTCAGTGTATTATAATTTTCACTGTATAAATCTTTCACTTCTTTCGTAAGAGTAATTCCTAAATATTTCATTTTTTTGCTTGCTAATGTGAATAGTCCAGTTTCTCTTATTTCCCTCTCTGTAATTTTGTTGTTCGTGTATAAGAATGCTATTGATTTCTGAGTATTGATTTTGTATCCAGCCACATTACTGAATTTATTTATTGTATCTAAGAGTATTTCAATGGAGTTTAGGGGGTCTTCTATGTAGAGTATCATGTCATCTGCAAACAATGATAATTTAACTTCTTCTTTTCCTATCTTTACCCCTTTTATTTCTCTTTCTTGCCTAATTGCTCTGGCTAGTACTTCCAGTACTATATTAAATAGGAGTGGTGATAAAGGACATCCTTGTCTTGTACCCGATTTTAAAGTAAAGGCTTTCAATTTTTGGCCATTTCGTATGATGCTGGCTGTTGGTTTGTCATAAATGGCCTTTATTATATTGAGGTAAAGACCATTTATTCCAATTTTCTGTAAAGTTCTTATCATGAATAAGTGTTGGACCTTATCGAAGGCTTTTTCTGCATCTATAGAGATGATCATGTGATTCTTATTTTTGGCTTTATTGATATGGTGGATTACATTTATTGATTTGCGTATGTTGAACCATCCTTGCATTCCTGGGATGAATCCCACCTGGTCATGGTGTATAATCTTCTTGATGATTTGCTGGATCCTATTTGCCAATATTTTATTGAGGATTTTTGCATCTGTGTTCATTAGGGAGATCGGTCTATAGTTCTCTTTTATAGTTGGGTCTTTCTCAGGTTTTGGTACTAGAGTAATATTTGCTTCCAGGAATGACTTAGGAAGGATTGCTTCCCTTTCAATTTCATTGAATAGTTTGAGGAGTGTCGGCATTAGGTCTTCTTTATATTTCTTGTAGAATTCTGCAGTGAATCCATCTGGGCCTGGGCTCTTCTTGGTGGGCAAGGACCCAATTACATTCTCAATTTCATTAGCAGAGATTGGGTTATTCAACAGTTTTATATCCTCTTGATCTAGCTTTGGCACTTCATATGCTTCTAAGAATCTGTCTATTTCTTCTGTGTTATCAAACTTTTGAGAGTAGAGGTTTTCGAAATAGGTGTTGATGATCCTCTGTATTTCTATTGGGTCTGTAGTGATTTCTCCTTTTTCATTTCTTATTGCATGGATTTGAGCTTTTTCTTTCCTTTTTTTAATAAGGTTGGCTAGGGGCTTATCGATTTTATGTATTCTTTCAAAGAACCAACTCTTTGATTCGTTGATTCTTTGGATTGTTTTCTTAGTCTCTATTGCATTGATTTCTGCTCTGATTCTTATAATTTCCTCTCTTCTTTTGGCTTTGGGCTTGACTTGCTCTTCTTTTTCTAGCTGTTTGAGGTGTAGCATCAAGTTATTTACTTGTATTCGTTCTGTTTTCCTGATGTGGGAACTCAGTGCAATAAATTTTCCTCTCAGAACGGCTTTCATTGCATCCCACAGATTCTGGTAAGTTGTATCTGCATTTTCATTTTCTTTTAGGTATTGTTT